TTCCAGAACCTCAAAAATTCGGGAATATTTTTTGGGACCATCAGTGCCTCAGTGGGATGCTTTTCAAATTCAATGAACCTAAAAAAACATGGGATTAAAAGTTATAATGTAAATTCCTGGAAATACCTAGGTAATAATCTCTCTCCAAGCGCGAATTCTATATAATTTTCGCTGGTGATGTTCGAGAAGTGGACATATGTATTTTTATAGGGATTGGCTAGAAATTGTGAGTTTTTAAAGGACATGTGAAGGCATACACATTCTTCGAATTGGGCAGAATTCATCGTAGGCCAGCCATAGGTGGCTCTGGTTTAATCGAATGTTGTTGGATTTGAGGGCTTTTTCATCTAAAATATGTATTAAGATGGACAGCGAGCGAAAAAGAAAAAGAGAGGGGAAGAGAGAGGGAGAGAGAAAGAGAAAGAGAAAGAGAGAGATATATAGAGAAACATAGAGAGCGATTAATCTATAAAACCTGGGGTCGTTCCATTAAAATTCTGATTTCACACCGCCTTTAAAGGAACGTGCAAGGCTGGTTTATGGATTTTCTTTCGTTCTGGATTCCGTATGTATTTTGTCGCGCACGCGACGCGCAAGGCGTACTACGGCTTTGCATGGCATAATGGGTTACGATTTCGTAATATGAACCAAGCACAGCGTCCGCGTTGCGTGCCGCGGAGCGGTAAATCCATAGACAATAGATTTAGCAAAAAATCCACCTCTACGTCTTGCCAGTCCCTTTCAAAACTAAATTTATAGACTTGCTAGTCCCTTTAAAACAAATCTAGGCCGCGAACGTTGAATTCTCATAAATAAGAAATTCCGAAACCCACCTATCAACAGCGGATACGGACATATACGATCTTTCAAACTCTGCTCCGTCTCTGGCGTCGGTGTCACTTTTTCAAAAGCCACGAATATCTTTGGAGAATACACCATTAAGTATCCAAACACAGCCATGGCGATTATAATTAAAAATAAGAATATCTTCATCGCACGCCCTTTCATCCTCCTAAAACGAGCCATAATTGAGACCAGGTGAAAGGAGAAAATAGGTGTGAAGGGGCGGAGCCAAGGAAAAAATATTGAGCAGAGCAAATATTTGAGGGAACACTGGCGTGGGAGGCTATTGAATCCATTATTTTTATAGCGTGGAATCCAGGAAAAAGCAATTTGTATCGAAAAGCCATAAAACAAAAAAGGGAACACGATGGATGGTTTTTCTTACTTTTGGCTTCGGGAAAATATGTTGGCAATGAAGCATTTGAAACTTTTTCTGGATTTATGCTTCTAAGGTAGATGCGGCGGAAAGAATAAAAATTCTAAGCTCGCATAGGTATTTAATTCTCCATCGGTTTTGAAGGTAACCTAGCTCTTTCTCTCTCTCACTCTCTCTCTCTCCCCCTCTCTCCCTCCCACCCTCTCTCTCTCTCTCTCTCTCTCTCTCTCTCGGGGTCTCTCTCATCTTTCTATCACATGCGATACCAAGGTTTGGCTTTTCAGAAAAATATTAGACTTTTTCAAGAACAATTGGGACAATAGATGAAATTCGGAGCCAGAAAAGCGCCAGCGGTGAGTAGTCTTTGCTTGTCATCGCGTCTTGAAAAACATGGAACGCTTAGAAAGACCTTGAAACTATACAAAACGAGGCTCCTATTAGACTTTTTTCCGAACAAAAAGACCCGCGAAAAATGAGCTTGAAAAATGAGTTCCCCCGGGGGTAAATCCGATGAAACCGCCCGCAAAGCCAGGCATTTTTTTCTCAGTTTAATGCCTAGCAAAACACACGTGTAATAAAATGCCCATGAATCAAAGACTGTTTCTATCGGTGTGATGCTATAAATCGAAGTCGAGAAAGAGAAACCAAATTTCGTACGCAGCCTGGGCATTCTGATAAGGTGGGTACAGGGGGAAAGAGCATGACATATCGCTGGATTATGCCGAGGGTGTGGTCCAAAGGGTTCGGGAATTCACTGATTACGTCCAAACGGAAGCTAAAAGGATTACCCAATAATACATTTTCAAAATTTTCGACATATGAGTCCGGATATGTCAATTGAAAAGAGAGACAGCGAGGAAGCGGGAGAGCAAGATGGGGGGAGAGTGAGGGAGATTGAGAGAGAGAGAGCGTGAGTGGGAGAGTGGGAGTGTGAGTGAGTGAGTAAGCGAGTGAGTGAGAGACAGAAAGGGACGGGTGAGAGAGAAACAACGTCCGAGAGAGAGAAAGAGAGAGGGAGGGAAGAGATAGAGAGAGAGAAAGAGAGAGAGAGAGAGAGAGAGAGAGAGAGAGAGAGAGAGAGAGAGAGGCAGATCAAAAAACCCCACTGATGAGCGCCAATCCTGGAGGGCGAAATCAGCGACGTTAATCTTAAAAAAACTACGTTTTCATGGGTTAAAAATAATTTCTTTAATCGGTGAAAATTTACAAAAATTGGTGTGTTTTTCAGACCTCCAACCCCAGAAATCGCCCTCGCAGTTGTCGATTTCCTGCCGAGACCCACCGAACTGCTAGTGACATCTGGCCCGAGGAGGCTACCATTTAGAGAATTGCCGCCAGGTTTGGAAGGATACCAAAAATTAACAATTATTTATATTCAGTACCAGAAGAACTATCGCTGAGCTACGGCTCCTATCGACAGTCCGTTTTCGACCCCGTACTACTTGTCGGGGAAGAGAGAATGATTACTGAAACGAGCTGCCCCACTACTCCCTCGGAAGATTACCATGAGGAAGTGGTATCTAGAAAGTCGAGCCAACCATACCCGCATTATCCGATGGATCCGACTGCCTAGTGAGTAATTTTGAATACTACTTAAATCCACAGCGCCTGGCGAATTCAAACAACCAGACCTGCTTAATTTAAGAGCGTCAAATTTCCCGAAAGTCAATTGTTCGCGTTTTTTAGCATGTCATCAAGCAGCAACACGATACGCTTTACGGAGAGTGGTAAGTATCTTGTTCTTGCGGCAAAGTATTATACTGTTGGAACGAGATCTGCTTTTGACAGTTCTGAATTATTTATGGAGTGGTGGAACTCTTTGAAGTTGCCTTCACGGCTACGGGGCACTAAAGCTCTTTGGTAACTTACACAATTCTTGATTGATCCTGGCTACAATGACGACCCTTGGATAATTACGTTAAGATGTAGAATTTAAATTACGGAATATTATCTTTTCAAGAGTTACATGTAAGCATGTGAAGCTTTAAATACGCTGAAATTTCACCTTTCCTACATGTTTGCCATAAATAAGCCTGGGAAGGAATGAATTTCGACAAAATTCAAAATAAAATAAAAAAAAACTAAGGAAATAGAATTTTGACATGGTGATAGACCCTGGCCACTCCATCTACTTCAAAATCCATGGTCATGCGTTGCCCGTCCCCTTTCAAGCCCCCGAATTTCCAGGCATGTCCCACTTCCTAAAGTTCGACCTCCCCTCTGTGTGCTCTGTGGTGGAAGCCGGCACCCTCGTCATTCTGATACTCTTCAGTTTCATCCTCATGTTCATCATCTACTACTTCGGTTTTGTTCAGAATTTATTCGACAATTAAATTGATGAAATGAGTTAATGGGGGGATGCAAATAAATATACAAAAAAACAAGGCATAAAATACACAAAAAAACACAAATTGCGAATCCTGAGTTTGACAAGTGGAGGTAGATGTCCCAGACGAGTTTTTGAGATTGTTCAAAGTCACAAAAATTAATGATTAGCATAAACCCCTGAGGAGTCTTGAGAAGAAGCGCGGGAAAATATACATATAGCAAAAGTAAAAATACAGCAATCAGGGGTACGGTAATATTCAAGAGGAAAACTCGAGGGGACGCACACGCACGGTTTTTTGGAGATTTTCTGGGGGCGCATTAATGGGAGGTGGGGTTAGGCGACGACAATTATTGGGCATTCAGAGGGACCAGTAATGGCAAAGAAAGGATTTCCAAGACAAAAAATTAAATTAGAAGAATTAAAGGGACAGTGACAGGCAAGGGAAACGAAAAAATCAAAGAAAAATTGTCGAATCGATTTTTTTGAGTGAAAAAGAGTTAAATGACACATTTGAATTTGCATTTTTGCAATATGTGAAAGATTTGAGGCTCAACTAGATTCAGCGATCACAAATGGGAGTTTATTTACAGTAGGAAAGTCGAAAAATTGACAATTTCGTTTTAAAGGGCTTGTGAAGTCAAATCCAGCAGGATCTTTGAGTTGCCAAAACCTTTAAAATCTAAACTTTCGAAAATTGAAGGCAAAAGCGGCATTTAAAAACCACAAAAATTTTTTAAGGTTTCTAAAGCCAATTTTCCATAGATTCCAACCTTCACAAGCCCTTTAAACCCTCAAAAATGACAAATACAGTAACCGCCAAGCGGCAAAAATCGTGAAAGACTTCCGGATTGTCCGGTTAGCAGGGCGACGAGAACGGTATGGGTGTTTTGAAAGAATCGAAAATGGGGTGAAAGAACTGGATAATAATAGCCTTTTTAAGGCCAAAAATACATTAGAAAATTGCATTTTACAAAGTAAAAAATTGATCGAATCGCAGGATAGTATTTTGGTATGGTAATTGATTGAGAAAGTATGGGATTTGATGGCTGAAAGCGCTGAGAATGATTGAGAAGAAAAATAGCAAAAAATCGCAAAAAAAAACATAAAACTGCTATACGGACGACGAATCGGCGTGGAAATTGGGGAATTTTTACATCGGGCAGGGTGTGTAATTCGGGGCTTGCAATCACTAGCTGTAACTAGCTTTGTATAGGCTGGGTTTTTAAAGGGACTGGCAACCTGGAAAATTTGAAGATTTTGAAAATTCATAGCGTTTCCTAGGTTCCCAGTCCCTTTAGCCAGCTTGGAAAAGTTGGCAAGTTGCCAAAACTGGGGGTTTTTCGGACGAAAGACGCTTCCGGGGTTCTTTAACGAGGTGGTTGACTCGGTGACGGCTTCAAGAGTGTTTAGCCGTAATTAAGAATGGAGCGTGGTCGAGGTCGTCGGGGGTTAAAACTGAAAAAAAAGCGGTTAGAAAAATATCTATCAAATATCTCTTTCTCTGTCTATCTTTCTCTCTCTCTCTCTCTCTCCCTCTCTGGTTTCTCTCTCTCACCTGAAGCTGCGAGTTGAGATGCGCCAAGTACGCTTGCTGGAAAATCGAGAGCGGCCCCTCCATATTCGGCATTCTGGGCATCGGATGCGCCATCGTTGGTGGAGTACGCTGGGCTTCAGAATGCGCCGTCGACGGCGAGGAGGACGGCTCAGCTACCAGACTCTGAAAAAGGACGATGTTTTAAAGGTACTGTCACAGCTACGACCTCAAAATCTATCCATTTCTAGTGTCACACCCGCTTCAAAAAGAGACACTGCCTACCTCATCATCATTATTGTTGACCGGGCTGCCCTCGCTGCTGATGTGGGAAGGGCTTTTGCCTTGGGATAGTCGGGCTGAGATCTCTTCCAGCTTCCGCTTCTTCCTCATCCGCCCCTGGCCAGCATCCTCTCCATCGGATGAATGCATTGGGGAGGAGGAGCAGCCGGAGGACTCGCCGCGCTCGGGGCTCAGGTGGCCTTCGGATTCCTCTTTTACCTGGAAAAATTGGAGTTGAAACCAGGTTAAGGAAAAGGCAGGCTAGCAGAGATCCTTCAGGTAAAGGTTCTGGGAGGCAATCTAGCAGTGATTCTTAAGGAAACTCGCTTTTCTGAAAGGCTGACGAGGCGAGCTAGCAGACGCGATTTAAGAAGTCTGGGGCAGGGCAAACTAGCATAGACACTGTAGGAGGCCTAGGCATGGCAAGCTAGCAGGAACCCTTAGAGAAACTCACCACATCAATCCCACTATCATGGCTATTGGGCGGCTTGATCGGCGCGGGCATTGTGGGGATGTGCAGCTGGGAGAGGAAGGGCGGGAGCACGGGCAATTGGTTGTTCGCCTGGCTGACCTGCTGGGCCAACAGGTTCAGGTTGAGGTGGGTCATGTTGTGGCGGATCATCTCTTCCTGCAAAGGGAATAGGTTAGACATTTCTCTCTCTCTCTCTCTCTCTCTCTCTCTCTCTCTCTCTCGGTCTCCCTCTCTCTCACCTGAGAACCAGTGGAGTACTCGCAGATCGTGCACTTCAACGGGATCGTTGGGGCCGACGGCATCTGGGAGAGTTGGGGGAAGTTTTGAAGTCCGGGGATGTTTTGCAATTGCTGGAGGTTTTGAAGCCCTTGGAGTCCTTGCAATCCCGACAAGTTCGAGAGGTTCGACAGGTTCGGCAAGTTCGGGAGCAGGCCGTTGAGTTGGTCCAACTAAAAAGGATATGATTTACTTTATTCTGCAAGGGACAGAGAGAGAGAGAGGGAGAGACAAGCAGAAGGAAGGTGCACGAACTCACCGGGTTATGCCTCAACAAGATGTTCAGCGGCCCGCTCGGGTTCGGATAGTTGAGGTGGGGCTGCTGGGGGAATGGGCTGAGGCCAAGGCTTTGAGCAAGAGTTGTTGGGGTCATCGGCGGGGGCTTCATCTCCACGCTGGGCGTTCCGTTCAAGCCGTTCAGTCCGACACTTTCCGAGAGACGTTGGAAGGCCGAGTCGGAGGAGCCGATTGTCTGAAAGGCAAAAGTTTAGTTTTTTGCTTAATAAGCATAGCATTAAATTGGATTAAATCATTATTTTAATTTATTTTTAGTTTGAGTGATTTTAATATTTGCACTTTTTATTGGTTTTCCTTATCGTAACCGGTCCATTTTCCACTTTTTACCTCTTTACAGGCTTCAAAAAATGGACTTTTAGGGCTTCAGACCAATTTTAGAATAAATTTTTAAGCTACCGTAGTCCCAAATGAATCCCTACCGTAACCTCGTGCCCATTTTTAGCGGATTTCCCCCGGCTTCCCCGACCCGGCTACAGACCGTAAATCGCCCCGCGAGACTCCCATATTTAAATCCTCAATTTCATTGTTATTCCCACGAGGGCAATGTGGTCACGGCTTCATCCTCCATATCTCTCCCACTCTCTCTCTCTCTCTCACTCTCTCTCTCTCTCTCTCTCTCTCTTCATTGGAAATCAGACACCAAGCAGCATCCCTTTCCTTGAAAAACAAGAGAATTTGGCCGGGGTGGGACCGCCCGCATTTCGAAGTCACGTTTTTTTCAGACGGGATCTGGGTGGACGCCCCTTTCCTTAGGCTTTTTTACTACTCCTGAACGTGGCCCTGGAGCGCGCAAAATAACACAAAGTGCACATGGGCCTCTGGGCAAATAGAAACGCGGAAAAAATGGGGCGGTGGGAGAGAGATCGCTAGAGAGACCCAACTATTTGAAGAACCTTTTTATCGGGGGCGCCACATAATTTTTTCAGGTCTGCCGGAACCAACGGAAATCGGGTGGTCAGGCTGGGCTTTTTTGGCCTGGCACGTGGCCAATATTTACCCAAGGTTTTTGATGGGTTTGTGAAATTTTTAAGAGACCGGAAGTAGTATTGAAACGGACATTAATAGACGAAAAACTCTGTGGTAAACCTAAGGCCTAACTCCGCCCCTACCTGTGGTGTCGACGGTGCCGGCTCGCCATCTTCAGCCCTCTTCCGGTGGTTGTACTTCCGCAGGTGCTGCTTCAGGGAATGGCAGTACTTGGTGGCGTACGTGCAGTCGGCGCAGCGGAACTGGAAAGGTAACGGAAGGTGAACTTAAGCAAGGAATATTTACCTGATAAACGTTGTTGTGACTCTTCATATGCGAGTTCAGCATGCTCTTATTGACGCACATGTATGCGCACTTCTCGCAGCGGAACGGCTTGGAGCCGAGGTGGTTTCGGATGTGGTACTCCTGAAGAGAAAAGAGATAGAATGAAGCCATCGTAAGGCAATGGCAAGTAACGTAAAGTAACGTAAGCTTTCATAAGGTATCGTAAAGTATCGTAGCGTAACGTACCAAGTGATGTTTGTACTCCGTGACGAACATGCACTGCGGGCAGTTCATCTGCTTGTCGCTGGGGATGTGCGTGCGCGCGTGGGTCCAGTGCTCGTCCTGAAAAACTAAGGTTAGAGAGCGCAAGGGAGAGCGAGTGAGCGAGAGAGAAAGAGAGAGAGAGAGAGAGAGAGCAAGCGATAGATCGCTAATCCTCACCTTCGTGATCGAAATATGTGGGCACTGCTTGCATTTGTAGACCTTTTGCTTGCCACTCCGTGTCCTTCCATTCGATGATCCTTCCGTTTTGGTGGGAGAGGCTTCAGATTTTTCCGGGGAGCCCAGGGTCATTGCCTGAAAAAATAGCATAAAATAGCCTTAAAAATCATTATTAAGGCCGAAAATAAACATTCAGATAACTTTTGCAGTTTCTAGACAATTTTCAGCAGGTTGTCAAGCGAAAATTCATCGAAAACTCCTCAAGGAACGTTAAAAATCAAAATTCAAAAATTTTTCTAGATTCTAGTCTGCTTTCGGCACTTTGCCAGACCAAAATCCATTAGGAAAATTAAGGAAAACAACGTAAGAAATCGAAGTCTGAAAAATTTGGTAGTCCATAGCCCAAACTTGGCACCCAGCCAACCCAAAACTCATCAAAACACACGACCGGAAAAAATCGGAAAACCCGATATGGGCTGATCGAAGCCCCGGAGGAATTTTTTAAGAATTACCGGATGGTGCTGGCGGGACAAGATAGCAGAAGCGGAAATGGAAGAGAGGGGGTAAAACCCTAAAAAACGGTACGCACCGTGTGGCTCCAAAACTTGGCAAGGGGCTACGAGAAGGGGGGGAAAGGAGTGATGGGAAACCGATAAAAGGGCAAGTAGCGGTTTGTGCCGGTAGGCTTCACCCCCCAAAAAAGAAGAGGAGGAGGTGGTGGAGAAGAAGCCCGAAGAGGTTTTGAGTCTTTTTTGATAGCCGCAAAAAGAGGGGGGAAGGTGAACAGTTCCGCTCAACGTGCAACGGTTTTTTGTAAAATTTGGGGGTTTTAAGGTGTTTTGATTACTGTATTTTAATCGTATCGTCTCGGAATAAAAGTCTTAAGTTCTCAGCTACCTTATTCAGTTTTACAGTAACCTCAATGGGGTAAAACTGATGGAAAAAGCGTAATTCCGTATCTATACTTCTTGGGTTTGCAAAACTAATTTTTTGGGAGAAATAAAGGAAAAATCCCGGATTTAAATTTGCGTAATTAAAATCTATCTAATCGCTATTGAAATTGAAAAATTCTAACTTTCTAGCTACCGTACCCCCGGAGCGTAGCGTAGCGCTCTGTCCAAACAAGACAGAAAAATTCATGGGATGATTTTCAGAGCTTTTTTCCCGGCTACCGTAATCCGTGCCCCCTCTCCCTGTCACGCCTAGTAAATAAACTGCTACCGTAGCCCGCATCCGGAGATTAGCTGACTGACCACGCGAAAAACGCGAAAAATCGGGTGCAATGAAATGTTTTTCAGTTGCTCCAAAAAAACTGGCCATTTTCTAGGTCAAAGGGGCAAAAGAGTTTAAAAAAAGTGGTCGAAAAACAAACTAATCTCGGGAAACTACGAGAGAGGTTGCTAAAATTCGACCTAGCCACCATAATCCCAAAATAACATTACGCGTCGAGCTGCAAATATGGAAAGTACTTGGAATTTCATAGAAAATGTCAGGATACCGTAACCCGAAAAGTACGGTCGAAGTTGTTGCCAGAAATTTCCACTAACAGAAATTGCAAATAACAAAAGAAAGATTTTCGATGATTAGAACACGACAATACCGTAATCCCGAAATTACGGGGAAATGTAAGTACGGTTTGCTACGCATCGCCACAGATACCGCAACCTGAAAACCACTAAAAGATAGGGCCCAAAGTGCATAGCGATTTCTAAGCCACGCCCCAATACCGTAACCCTAAAGTACATGAAAATTGAAACGCCCAGTACCGTAATCCTAGAAAAAAAGGAAAGAAAAATATGCAAAAGTACGATTCCTAAACCCCGTCCCACTACCGTAATTTTAAAAATGAGACTGTCGTTTACTAAGATTGCTAAACCCCGCCCCAACTACCGTACCCGGTGGTTCTCACCTGAGATACGGCTCCCAGCGCCGTGGCCAACGTTGGCGCATCGGGCATGGATGTATTTTCGGTGAAAGCCCGGATCTGATCCAATGCCGAAGCCGCAGAAGGGACTTGTTGATCATCTCCAAGCCCCAGTAGTCCTTCAAGACCGAGCGCCGCCGCCAAGGATGTCGGCTGGGCAGTGGAAGTTGATGCTCCCGAGGTCCCAGCTTGAGAATTCACCGCTTGATTGACCGCCTCCATCAGGCTAGCCATCGTCGTTTGAAGCGTATTGTTATTGTCCGAGTCCAAGAACCCGGCCAGGCTCAGTGCTGGTGGAGTCTGAGCTCGAGAGCTCGAGCTCTGGAAGTTGAGCATGGGGATGTCGGCCTTTGGGAGCCCCAGGTTTTGGCTGAGCGCGAGTAGTTGATCAGCTTGGCTGGCTTGGGAGAAGCTGGGTTGGCTTGAGGTGTCGAGCATCGGCTTGTGCTCCTTCGGTTCCTTCACCGCCTCCATCTCGACTCCCTTGGCTTTCCTTTCGGCCTCGGAGTGCGACTCGCGCATGTGCTTCTTCAGTCTTCCCTCCGTTCTGGAGGTGTAGTCGCACATCTGGCATTGATGGTCGCCGTGGGTGTTCATGTGGGAGTTGAAGTGGAACTTGCTGGCGCACGAGAATGGGCATAGGGCGCATTGGAATTTGTTCTGGGGTCCGTTTTGAGGATGAGGATTTTGAGCCTGAGGTAGGAGGGGGAGGAATGGAGTGCCGTCCGAGTGGATGGGGCGCGGGCAGATGATGGAGCCCTCGGCGCGGATCGGGGCTGGCGGGGTGGGGTTGATGAAGCTCTGGGAGGAGAAGTTGAGCAGGAGGCTTCTGAAAAATCTAAATTAGGCGGTTTTAGGGGTGTAATGGCTAAATTTTTAGGTCTCTCTATCTCTCGCCCTATCGCTCTCTCTCTCTCTCTCTCTCTCTCCCTTTCTCCAACTCACGATGCATCATCCTCCCTCGGCTCCTCAAGCTTCGGAATCTTTGGGCTCGGCTTGTCCTCCTCGTCCACAGAGTGCTTCCGGCGTTCCGGGGTTGTGCAAACTACCAAAAAAATGCATTATCAACAACTTCAAGCAGAACTACCATTAGCGCTGCAACTGGCCGGCCTTGGGGGTAGGCAAATGGTAGGCTGACGTAGGCTCGGTTCTTCGCGAGTTCCGGTGGGCCGGGGTGGGGTTGAGAAGGGGTGATCAAGCTGAAAAAGCTAAAATTAGATAAAGTACTCTGCTACAGAATGCTCCACTACTTCCAGTACGCTACTGTATCTCAGCGTATGAGACGCTACAGTACCCTTACGTGACTCATGGTGGTGTTTGAGTGTGGTACGCTACCGTACTATGTTTCTATGCATGATGATTTACTTATGGTAGGTTGTAAATAGTACGCTACAGTACCGGTGGCTATACGCTAACACCCTACAGTACGCTACAGTACGCTAATATACTGTACGTCTTAACATAACAGGCAGCGGCATCGTACTCTGCTGTACGCTACACTACGCTAAATCCCTCACCTCCATCCGGTGACCATCCTCATCGGAATCAGTAGCCGAGTGGCTCTCGGTGAAGCTGGGGTGGCTGTGAGACTTCGTCTCTTCAGGACTAAAAAGTTGATGGTTTTTAGAGTCAATCCAGTAAAAATCGAAGTCGTAATCGGTAAAGTATCGGAATGGTTGATTTACCTCAACGATGAGCTGGGCTCCAAAAGTCGTCGAGCGCTGCTGCTGTCCTCCTTGCCGGAGGAGGGCGAGCTGGGCAGGGGAGAGGTTTCGATGAGGAACGTCTAAAATTAGCACAATTAAAATATTTAATGTATCTTTAATGCAATTAAGGAATTATGTCATTTTTGTAGATCGGAAAAACCTAGAAATTTGCCAAATTTAAGCTAAAAAATGTCTTTTTTAATGCAAGTAAGCCACATTTTGCTTCTTCGGATCAAAAAGTTTACAAATTTGCATAATTTAAAGCTATTAAAGTAATTTTTAGGAATTCAAAATCCTAAATAAATTCTGAGCCCTCAAATTTCGACCACGCGCTTTTTTTGGTGCTTTTAATGCTATTTTTGGCGCCCCCAGCCGCCCTAAAACTGATAAGCCGAGCTGATACACCGGTTTTTGCTTGTTGTTTTTTTGCGGGGTGTCATTTCCCTTCCGGTGATGTCATCTCGTATCGAAAGCTCGAAAAAAAAAGATGTGACTCATCTAGGCTAGCAATTTCAGGGAAAAGCCCCTCCAGAAGCCTCTCTTTGTCCCGCAAAAAAGTGCAATTCCCAGGGGGGTCCCCGGAAAAAGGCCCGGCTGGTTTTTGCCGGTGAGTCAATGGCGTTTCAAAATTGGCATGTGAATTTTGGGGATACGGTAGCCCATTAAAAAGCTTACCGGCTTGGGCTTCTGATCCTGATCCCTTTTTCGCTGTTCCTCCTTCTCCTTCTCCGCCTTCCAGATTTGCTCCCCGAGCGTGGTGTTATTGTTGGCGGCGTGCCATTCGGAGACCTGAAAAAAAGCAAAATTAGGCATCCCACATCCGTTCTAGAGCGATCAAGTTCATTTTCACCCAAAAAGCAAAAAGTTCGAGCAGGATGAGATTCGAACTCACGCGGGAAAATCCCATTGGATTAGCAGTCCAACGCCTTAACCACTCGGCCACCTGCTCACTGGGAGCGGCGTTCGGGGAGAGGGGCTTTGAGGGCGTGGGGGCCAACTTGGGGGGTGCGGGGTGGTGGGATAATGGGCAATGAAAAAGCAGGAGATGAGAGGCAAAAGTCCATGCTAATTATTCGATTTATGACCAAAAATAGACCCTAAAAAAGGTGTATTTTGTACTCTGGTAATTAATAAATTACAGCAATTTTTTAAATACCGTTAAAAACTTCGTCAATTGCAAACACAGGTGTTAAAGGTCGATTCGCAGTATTTTTACGGCGGGT